TTTAGGTGAAAACCCTCTACTTCAATGTTTTTTTAATTAAATGTTTCGAGCAGTGCGACATGGACTGTTAGAATCACATGAAGCAGCCAACAGCACAAATCATAATTTGAGTGCTACAGCTGTACTAAAATGTTGGTAGGGAGGAAGGTTTGGGGATTAAGGGACTTGGGAGATTCTGTTCCTGGCTGTGCCATTGATTTTGTGACGTTTTGGCAAAATCACTTCGTCTCTCTGCCTCCATTTCCCATCTGTAAAATGAGAAAATACTACCCTACTGCAAAGGATATTTTAGAAACAAAGTCTGGACTTTAAGGCTCTTGACCGCGATGATGAAGAGTGCCATAAAAACCATATAAAGCAATGTGAAAAGTCAAAGCACAGCTTTGGGTTTGATGTATTAAAATATTAGCATAAAGAAGGAAGAGAATAGGCACAGATTTGCTAAAGAATCATGCCACCTAGTATATGTAATTCCTGTTTTCTGAAAACACATACCTAAATTGGACAGAAAATTCAGCATCGTAAGATAGTGTCACCTTCTGGACAAACTCTTGTAAGTAACAAGCATGGGACTGTTGCATATTGGAGAAGTCAAAAAAGGGTATTCAGAATATGCAGTAATCTTATTCCCCTTTTTGCTGACTTTCTCTAAATGAAGAATATCCAATATCTTTTGTCTCATTAGTAGATATTCTGAAAATCAAACATACACTATTAACACTCAGCATTACCAAAGGTTTTGCTATATTGAACTATTATTGCAGGTAACTTATGTCATATAGTAGACAGCAGACTTCATTCAGATCACTAAAACTATCAAACTCCTTGAAGTTGAAATTAAAAAAAAAAAAAATCTTATAATACAACTGAAAATCCCAGGTCACTTTTAAAAAAATACAAGCTTGCGAAGCTTGATGTCGATGCCGCTAATAAGCATTTCTAAAATATCTAGTCAACATGAAGCACATAGGAGTGAAGGCTTGTCTAGTTTTAAATAGTTCATGTTTTGGGAGACAAAAGGCTTAACTGCCCAAGAACCCAACCTGTAGCTCCTCTGGGAAATGCTCAGTTCAGGTGGCCTTCATGCTCTGGACAGAAATCTAGTCAGGTCAGGCTATAACTCGTCGGTAATTTTCACGCTGCAGCTCTGTGCTGTGCCAGCTGGAGCTGTTGAGCACTTTGCCGACTGGGCAGAATTTGAGTGCCTTGTTTGTAAATGGGAGGGGAAAGAGGGGGAGCGTTTTTTAGATTTTTACTTATTTGAATGCCCAGTTCAATGGAACTGGGGTGTGTGTGTGTAAATTTTTTTAATTTAAAATCACCGAGGAGTGGCAGTGTGAGGGGGAGTCTGACCGCCATTTAATGACAGCAGTCTGAGGCCGAGGGTTACCCCTTTATAGCTGTTAACGTGCGTTGTCAGTGTGCCCCCCACACCAACCCAGCTGCTCACTCCGTGTTGAGGAGCAACTCCTGTGTCTTCCCGCTCCCTGCCCGGGCGGCCTGCATCTGCTGTCAAGTGCTCACCAACAGTGCTGTCAATTCCACAAAGCAGGAAGTCACCAGACAAACCCTGAAAAGTCGCTAGATGTAGCTGTTTAAGCACTCAAAAGGAGTCAAAAATGTCACTGAACAAAATTTCCACAGAATTCAACTAAGAATTTTTTTATATATATATATATATATACACACACACACGCCTATAGCCACAAAATCATTCACAAGCAGCTCAATAGTGTAAATAAAATCCATTCCATGCTCTTCTTACTACATTCTCTTACACAGCAGAAACAACTACAGCAGTATGCTGTCATCAGGAGGGTGCCCTCTGCTCCTTGAGCAGGGCACTCTGTAGGTGCCAGCCCAGGTTGGCTGGGGTTAGTTCACTTCAGCTGAGCCTCCCTTTCGTGCCAGCCTAGATTTGAGCCAACAGGTTAGTGAAAGGCAGAGCCCAGAGCCGGGGGGGAGAGGGCATTCATCTGACTTGAGCTCGGCGCTGCAGGGAGCAAAGAAAATAGATGTAAAAACAAAAACCCGTTAGCCAGACCCCTTCTCTCTGCTTCCACTGTTTCATTTCTGAACAGCTAGGCAGCTAACCCCAGACCAAGCCAGGGGAAGGAGTAAAGGGGAACTGAAATCAAGCTAATTCCACCTTTGATCCTGTAGTGAGGGCTTCATCCCTAGAGGCAGGGGGCATTGGGGCACATGGTCCTGTCTTATCCCACCCTACCTCCCATCCATGCAGCTCTCCTTGCTGGCTAACCTGCCTCCCCCACCCTACCCCCTTCATCATCCGTCTTTCTCTGCATGACAGGGTGCGCTACCTGCTACGAAGCAGCGAGAAAGAACGTTTGGGTAAAAACAAGCCCTGGCTAACGTGCTGCGCTCTCCAACGTGGGCCTGGCTTTAGCGAAGTATTTAATTAGCCTCCGCAACTCCTTTTCCTTGCCTGCAGCGTATAGCGACCTCAGCCCAAGCAGCCCTGGAATGCGATTCCTTCGGAGGACGTGCCCAGCTGGGGGGTAATGACACTGGCCCGGTGCCTAACAGAATGTAGCGGGGCGCCAGGGTGACAGGATGTCCCGATTTTATAGGGACAGTCCCGATTTGGGGGTTTTGTTCTTATATAGGCTCCTGTTATCCCCGCCCGCCGGCCTGACTTTTCACGTTTGCTGTCTGGCCGCCCTACCTTCCCAGCGAGTGCGAGGCCACCAGAGCCCGGCCGCCAGCAGGCGGGGTCGAACCTGGGGCCGCTGCCGCGTGAGGTAACAGCCGGCCGGCCCCGAGCCCAGGCTCGCGAACCCCGCTCCGGGCGCGGTCTCGGTGCCGCGAGCGGGGGCAGCGCGCCCCCCGGGCGCTGTGTGGGGCACCCAGGGGCTGGGCCTGAGGAGCAGGGCGGAGCGGCTGGCGACTGGGGCGAGGCGGGACGACTCTCCCCGCGGCCGCTGCGCCGCGCCGTGACAGCCGCACGATGTGTCGCGGGTCACGTCGACGCCTATTTTCTCCAAAAGGTCACTACATCTAACGACAACGTTGCTAAGGTGGCAACGGCCGGCCGGGGAGCCGGGGCAAAGAGCCGCCCTGCCCCCTATGCTCAATGGGGCTGACGGTGCACCGTGCCCTCAGTCAATTGGCCCCCTAAGGAAGATGGCCGCCGCCTTCCCCTGTTCGCAGTGGGCCTGAGGCCAAGCTACCCTCAGCAAAGATGGCCGCCACCTTCCCCTGTTCGCAGTGGGCCTGAGGCCAAGCTACCCTCAGCAAAGATGGCCGCCACCTTCCCCTGTTCGCAGTGGGCCTGAGGCCAGGCTACCCTCAGCAAAGATGGCCGCCGCCTTCCCCTGTTCGCAGTGGGCCTGAGGCCAAGCTACCCTCAGCAAAGATGGCCGCCGCCTTCCCCTGTTTGCAGTGGGCCTGAGGCCAGGCTACCCTCAGCAAAGATGGCCGCCGCCTTCCCCTGTTCGCAGTGGGCCTGAGGCCAAGCTACCCTCAGCAAAGATGGCCGCCCCTCCCCTTTTCGCAGTGGGCCTGAGGCCAGGCTACCCTCAGCAAAGATGGCCGCCGCCTTCCCCTGTTCGCAGTGGGCCTGAGGCCAAGCTACCCTCAGCAAAGATGGCCGCCCCCTCCCCTGTTCGCAGTGGGCCTGAGGCCAGGCTACCCTCAGCAAAGATGGCCGCCGCCTTCCCCTGTTCGCAGTGGGCCTGAGGCCAGGCTACCCTCAGCAAAGATGGCCGCCGCCTTCCCCTGTTCGCAGTGGGCCTGAGGCCAGGCTACCCTCAGCAAAGATGGCCGCCGCCTTCCCCTGTTCGCAGTGGGCCTGAGGCCAGGCTACCCTCAGCAAAGATGGCCGCCGCCTTCCCTGTTCGCTCCTGGCCAGCTACCCTCAGCAAAGATGGCCGCCCCCCCCCTGTTCGCAGTGGGCCTGAGGCCAGGCTACCCTCAGCAAAGATGGCCACCGCCTTCCCCTGTTCGCAGTGGGCCTGAGGCCAGGCTACCCTCAGCAAAGATGGCCGCCGCCTTCCCCTGTTCGCAGTGGGCCTGAGGCCAAGCTACCCTCAGCAAAGATGGCCGCCCCTCCCCTTTTCGCAGTGGGCCTGAGGCCAGGCTACCCTCAGCAAAGATGGCCACCGCCTTCCCCTGTTCGCAGTGGGCCTGAGGCCAAGCTACCCTCAGCAAAGATGGCCGCCCCCTCCCCTGTTCGCAGTGGGCCTGAGGCCAGGCTACCCTCAGCAAAGATGGCCGCCGCCTTCCCCTGTTCGCAGTGGGCCTGAGGCCAGGCTACCCTCAGCAAAGATGGCCGCCGCCTTCCCCTGTTCGCAGTGGGCCTGAGGCCAGGCTACCCTCAGCAAAGATGGCCGCCGCCTTCCCCTGTTCGCAGTGGGCCTGAGGCCAAGCTACCCTCAGCAAAGATGGCCGCCCCCTCCCCTGTTCGCAGTGGGCCTGAGGCCAGGCTACCCTCAGCAAAGATGGCCACCGCCTTCCCCTGTTCGCAGTGGGCCTGAGGCCAGGCTACCCTCAGCAAAGATGGCCGCCGCCTTCCCCTGTTCGCAGTGGGCCTGAGGCCAGGCTACCCTCAGCAAAGATGGCCACCGCCTTCCCTGTTCGCAGTGGGCCTGAGGCCAGGCTACCCTCAGCAAAGATGGCCGCCGCCTTCCCCTGTTCGCAGTGGGCCTGAGGCCAGGCTACCCTCAGCAAAGATGGCCACCGCCTTCCCCTGTTCGCAGTGGGCCTGAGGCCAAGCTACCCTCAGCAAAGATGGCCGCTCTCGGGCCCGAGCCGTCTCTCCTGCCGCGCGGCTCCGACCTCCCTTTCTACCAGGTGTCCGGGACGCGCTGACGTCACGCAGTTCGTCCAGCCCCGCCCCTGTGCGGTCGCGATGGCCATTGGCCAGTCTCTTCAGCGTGACTCCTCTGTGCTGCGACGCACGTTCTCCCTCCTCGCATCCCCGGTGCGTGGTGACGACATCACGCTGCCGTCCCACCCCCTGCGGGCGGTTGCCGGGGTGACTGGGTGGGCGCTCGCGGGGCCGGGCGATGGCGGCGGCGGCGGCGGCGGCGGCGCGGGCGGAGGGGCCCCAGCTGCCCGGGCCCCCAGCGGGGCGGCCCCGGCAAGTCTGCTCCCGCCCCTACTTCGTGGTGCTCATGGTGTTCGCGCACCTCTACGTGCTCAACGTGCTGGGGCTGCTGCTCTTCGTGCACCTCAGCGCGGGGGACGGCCCGGGCCCCGGGCCCCCGCCCCCCAGCGAGCCGCCCGCCGCGCCCGGCCCCCGCGGGGCCGCCCTGCCCCGCCGCGAGGGCATCAAGGCAAGGAGCTGGCGCGGGCTGGCCGTGGCCGTATTGCCGGGGGCTGGCCCGGCCCGGTGAGGGGGGACATCAGCTCGGCCTGGCGCTCCGTGCCGTGGGCGGGCCCAGCCTGGGCGCCGGGATTCGCAGCCGGTCTCCGCTCAGGCGCGTGCGGGGCGGGAGGACTTGGCAACACACAGTGCGGCCCGGGCTGGCCTGCCTCCGTCTGCGCTGGCGTGGTACAGATCGGCACGGCTCGGCTCGGCTCGGCTCGCTGAAGTTTGGCCTGAGGTGATTTAGCGAGAAACAGTGTAGCGGGCTCGGAGTTTTGCCAGCTTGGTGCCATTCTCTTTTCAGTCTCCTTTCGGGGTACAGGTCATTCCTCTGATGTGTTCTTATTACTGCTCTTGATTTCTTACCAACTTCGGGGTAAATTGGGTCTCGCTATAAATGGGTGGCACTGCATTGATCTCAGTTGCACCTTAGCTGAATTTTTAACTCCTTTCAGCTGAGTTTAAACCAAGAACTAACCTGCCCAGACCCAGGGATGAGGGGCCCAGAATTGAATTCGGACATCCAGATGCAGTAGCACACGAACTGTATAGAAAGGGACTCCTGGCTGCCTGCTGTGTCTGTATAGATGCAGTCCAAAATTGCAGGCAGGCTTTTTTGGCATAGTGATTGTTGGATGCACAGTGGGGGGAAAAGTACTGAAAATTTGTGCCTGGAATGTAATCTGTTAATTCCTGCTGTTTTGTCCCCCAGGTTGGCCATAAGCAAAAGGTGGAGCTGGTCCCTAACAAAGTCCATTTCATGAGAACTCTCAGCTTGAAACCGCTTCTCTTTGGTAAGACGCACAGCCCCGCACAAGACCTGCTAACAGGGTGGCTGAAATCCCATTGATATTTTAATCCACACTGCAGTCTGGATATATTTGTGGCCATTATGGGCCCCAAGCCAATAAAGAGAGAGCACTGGAGTTATGCAAAAAGAAAAGGAGTACTTGTGGCACCTTAGAGACTAACCAATTTATTTGAGCATCACATCTGATGAAGTGAGCTGTGGCTCACGAAAGCTCATGCTCAAATAAATTGGTTAGTCTCTAAGGTGCCACAAGTACTCCTTTTCTTTTTGCGAATACAGACTAACACGGCTGTTCCTCTGAAACCTGTCACTGGAGTTATGGTAATTCAGAATCTGGTTGGTAAAATTAAAAACACAGCTTTGTAAAAAGGAGAAACTTCTGCAGTAAATCATGAAACTGGAGTTTGTGTCCTCGTAGATGCTATTCATGTGGTGTGAAATGATGTCTGAATTCTTTATGTTAAGTGGTAGCTTCAGAAGGAATAGTGAGGTGGCTTATGGGTGAGAACCACTGTCCATGGTAGAAGGTTTTGTGCCTTTCATTGCATATGTCTTTACTGCAGAGTTAATTTGAGTTATCTACCTTCCAGTTACTGCTCTCTAGTTAGCCTAGCTCCAGTGAGAGCAATCATACTGTGAAATAACACTTGAGTTGCTGTTTGCACACTGCCACTGCACTTGCTGTGTGTGTCCCTTCTGTGTACCCAGCCCATGGTTCTTTGCACTTCTGTAAGATGAAATGCTGTGTAAATGCTTTCCCAGTGAATTGTGTGAGAACTTTTCATTCCTTTCTGGGCATGCTGGGGGAATTGTGGGACGGCATTAGAAGCAAGGTGGTCATTTAGCAAGTTGCTGAATTGGACTAACACAAGCTTAGCTTATATCTTTTCTCAGGCTAGCCAATGCGACTTAAAAGCACCAGTGCACGCAAGTTAAAGACTGGTGTGTGTGTGTGGACAGGACTCAAGTTAGGCACAACACTCGAGTTATAACTTGAGTTAATTTTGCGGTGAGGACAAAATCTCTGAAGCATCAAGGGGTTGGTAACTACTACCTGACTAGTAGATTAAGGGTCTCTGCTCAGGTGAGTTAGAGAAAATTGAGATCTGTTATTAGTTGATGTTCCCCAGGAGACAGAGCATGACTGTTCCCTTTTATGTGCTTTTTCTTAGATGGTATATAAATGTGATAGCTTATGTATCCCCTTTTAACATTGTTAGCAGCCCAATGCAATAAAAACAGGCCTGTGTGAATTCCGAAGGCTGCCAAAGGCAAACTGGCAACTGGATTTCTGCCATCCTGCTTTGATTGTAGCTCTTCTGATTACTCCCACAGGGCATATGGAAGTGAGTGATAATGACATTATAAAATGTATAGCTCTTCTCTCCTGCCTTTAGGAAATGGATTATTCAGACATATTTTTCAGATCTTTATTAAGATTTACTTATTAAGGCAGAGAGAATCAGTTCAAATTTTTGAGCTGCTTACCAGTTCTTTTGTTTTTATTTTTTAGTATAATTTGAAGAATAAGTGAATTGATCTGATTTCCATAAAATGTAGGAAACTGATTTAAGAAAAAAGGCAACTATCTCAACTTGCCTTCTTACCTCCTAATCTCTGGAGAATCAATGTACAAACCAGCTCACGCTGCTTCCCGCAGTCCCCATTGCCCTGGAACAGTGAACCATGGCCATCGGCTGAACTTGCGGATGCTGCAGGTAAACAAACTGTCCCAGCCCACCACCAGATTTCCCTGACAGGCCGCATGCCAAAGATTGCCAATCCCTGGTTTAGTATATTGAAAAGGTGTGAATGACTCTTACTGGCACAATTGTGTACAAGTTCTTGTTTGTCCAGGTGGAGAGAAACTGTTTCCAGCATAGGTATGAACAAAACAGGGACACTAAATTCTTTATGGCACTTTCACCATTGTTGTGTGATATGAATAAGAAGAAAAGGATCCTTGTGGTTCATGTTGCCTGATTCAAAGTGAAAGCTCAGAAAAAACCCAGACATGCTTCTTATTTAAATCCTTTTAATGCAACGAGCATATTCAAGAAACACACACGGCTCTGTCATTGATTCCTAAATACACAGTATTCATAACTTGTAAATTCCACAATAGTTTTCCTTCTGGCAGTGTGTAAAGACTGAAGTTTGGAACTGGTATCTTATAAAAGTCAACACACACAAAAAGCCTCAATATAATCACAGGAAACGCGGTATGAGGGGTCAGTTTGATTTTACTAATTAAGTTTCCCTTGGGGCCTCAGTTCTAACTTACTTACCCTTATTGATTTAATTTGCCGAACAGAGCTGATCCTGGCCTTCAAGAAAGTTGCTGTAGTTGACAAAAAAACAGACTTATGGCATAGTAGACTCACAACTTTATTAATCCAGCTTAATACCTCTCTTCTGGATTCTGGAGGTAGGCCTTGTTTTCTGATCCTGTTATCTGGAAATGCATCGCTCCTGGAACAGTGCTTGATGTCTAGCACTTTACGGCCTTATACAGCTTGTACTGCTTTGTCCTCTGATAAGGAGTTCTTATTTAGGAACTTCAGCTCACAGACAGCTCTTATCACCCCACTGAGCCTCCCAGGACCCCTTGTTGACTTTAAAAGACCACTAAGGTATTCTCTATCCACAAGTTGTTTCAAGTTAACAAAACTGGTTTAAAAATTGATGTAGTGAAGTTGGAACAGCTCCACTGTGTTGATACACTTCAATCTGATGATGAGCATCTCTTTCATCAATAAGAAATCAACATTGTGTGTAGACAAAACAGAGGCTCTAGCTCTAAAGGACTTTTCAAGTTAATTAATTCAAAGGCTTTTATATTTATCAAAATGTTTTGCAGAGTTTGAGGACAAGTATAGAAGTGACTAGTCCACATATTCTGAATGCATTTGGGAAAGTGCAGTGCAACACTGATTTCAGGCAAAGGAGGCCATGTTAAAGACTTTTCATCGGCTTTGTTTTTGGGAGTGTGGCAAGGGCACTACTGGGAAATGGTTTTTTTTGTTTTTGTTTTTTTAATACTTAAACATTTAAAAATGACATAGAATCTCATCTGCCATTGAAACCAAGCTTATTATTTCATAGAACTAGGAAAGGTTCTTGCCGTGTTTGTTTTCCTCTTTATGAGAAACGCTAATAATCAAATAATCCTGTTGGTATCAAACAAGCACCAGACAGGGCTTTTTCAGTCTTTATAGCTTTATAGATTCTGTGATAATTTAAAGTGCAATCTGCTTTGAGGCAATTGTCATTTAAGAGACCACCTGGCAAGGAACTCTATGGTTTGGGCTCCAATTTGTAAGCCGAGGCAGGGAAATAAAAGCTTGCGGTCTCTGTGTTTTTTAGATGTTCAACTTGGTACTGCACAACATTTAGATTAAAGAACTGGAATGATGTAAAATTAATATGGCACCCATTAAATGGATTAAAAACTGGCTTAACTGATAGTTCTCAACATGTAATTGTAAGCAAGGAATCGTGGAGTGGATGTTTTTCTAGTGGGGCCCCAGAGGGATCAGTTCTTGGCCCTACAGTATTTAACATTTATATCAATGTCCTGGAGGAAAACATAAAATCATCACTGATAAAATTTACAGATGACACAAAAATTGTGGGAGTGGTAAATAATGAAGAGGACAGGTCACTAGTACAGAGCAATCTGGGTCACTTGGTAAGCTGGGTGCAAGCAAACTGTGTGTTTTAATATAACAAAATGTAAATGTGTACATCGAGAAACATAGAATGCAGGGCATGTTTACAGGATGGGAGGCTGAAAAAAGATTTGGGGGTTATGGTGGATAATCAGCTGAACATGAGTTCCCAGTGCAATGCTGTGGTCAGAAGGGCTAATGTGTAAAGAGGGGTATCTCAAGTAGGAGTAGAGAGGTTATTTTACCTCTGAATTTGACACTGATGTGACCGCTGCTTGAATGCTGTGTCCAGTTCTGATGTCCACAATTCAAGAAGGATGCTGATAAATCGGGGAGGGTTTAGAGCAGAGCAGTGAAAATAATTAAAGGATTAGACAATCTGCCTTATAGGGAATGAATATTTAATAATGGGCTCTTCAGTCCAGCAGAGAGAGCTAACACAGTGTAATGGATGGAAGATGAAGCTAGACAAATTCAAACTAAAAATATGGTGTAAATTTTCAGTAGTCAGGGTCATTAAACATTGGAACAGTTTACCAAAGGGTGTGGTGGATCACTGGCAATTTTGAATTAAGGTTGGATATTTTTCAAAGAGATCTGCTCTAGGAATTATTTTGGTGACATTCTGTGGCCTTTGTCATACAGGAGGTCAGACTAGGTGATCACAGTGGTTCCTTCTTTCTGTCCTTAGACTCTATGAATCTATAAAAATACTCTGTGCCTCAGTAGTCCAGAAGTTAAATTTGCACAAATATCGGGATGTGGCCAATTTCCCCAACTGAATTTGAAGAAGGAAAGTCCTGCGGGGGGCCGCAAGCCTCTCCTCAGGTACTGCCAGAGATAAAGAGAAAATCTGATTGCCAATTAATGAAACACTTTCAGAGCACTTAGACCGACAATGGTATCTGTAATGCACCTCTCTCCAAACAAATGTTCCATGTATCTCCCCTTGGATGATCGTTAAAGTAAATGACTGATGATCAAGAAACAAAACAAACCTCACGTTGTAGGTAAACATGTCAATTGTCACTGTACAAGGAAGACCCATTTACCCCCAAAGCTTTTCTTTGCTTCCCTATTTCAATCCTGTGTTTACTGTATTTGCTCTAGTCTAGGAATACCTCCATACATATTTACTTTCACCAGGAATTCTGGAAAAGCAACACCTGTCTGGAAAGCAGGAGAACCATACCTGTCCTTGAAGATGACTGCTGTAAGTGCTTCTTTTGATATAGGGGATCTGCAAAGGATTTTAGAAAAATGCTCCTGTTGCCATTTTTGACTCTTTTAGATAAAGAAAGAAGGCATGGAGGGATATATTTAAAGTTTTTTTTCCCCCTGCTTTGTTTATCATTGAGTCTGATCTTCCCAGGTTTTGACAGGGGACTTCTCAAATGGTCTCAGACTGTACATCACTGAAGGGGTGTGTATTGAATCTTGAACAGAGACACCCTTTCTCCAAAATGCATGCTAGTCACTGGAATTAAGTGGGTGCTACCAAAAAGACTTTTAAACAGTCTGACTAAAAATCCCTTCGTCTCCCAGTTGATCAGCTTTCTGTCCTGACTCTTGGGAAATCCTCACTTCACTAGTTCTTCAGTCACCAGGGTCTTCCTAGGTAGACTGATTTTTTTTTTTTTTTTTAATTCCCTTAGTGAATTAACCCTTTTGGGCGACCTTTTCCTAGCAGAAAGTAAAAAGGGCAGAATTCCAACATTTTCCTTTGCAGATCTCCTTTAAAACTTTAGCCATTACATAGGCAGCCCTGTGGCGTAGTTGCAAGTGGTGAATACAGCTGCTGGCCGCATGTCTCACCAAGCAAGGTGATCTGTGTGTGGAAATGTCTTTGTAATATCTCTGGGCCCACAGCAAGCTTGCACTTATGCAAAGTCTGTGTTTCAGGGACAAACCACAGGACTGAAATTACTACCTCGTTTCAGTGTGAAGGGAACAGACAAGAATAGCTACTAGGTATCTCCTCCTGTCCAGTCTAAGCTGAGGACTTCAATTCACTTATTCCTGCTACTACACAAGCTTGCCACATCTATTAGAAACTGGGTTTCCAGTGCAGTAGGAGATAAAGAAGAACACAGCATGTTTGTGTCTTTCCATTTCTTGGAGCAACAGGTGACTCCCTAAGCTCTTAATTAACATGTTGTACAGCAATCCCTTAGTGAAATGCTCTGTAGTATGGCCTCTAGACCTTGGCTATTGACTACACTGAATCCCACTAAAAGATAGCCATTGTACCGACCCACATCCCCAAAGCCCTGGTTGTCATGGATCGTTTTCTAGGTACAGGGAGGGGAGCAATTTCCTATGAGTGGAGCAGAGATTTCTGAAATCTCCTGCCAGACTATGCTCGGCACCGGTGGTGTTTCCATCGCCGCACAGCCTGCTGCAGGTTCCTGTTCTTCTTGTGCCATGCATAGGCCTTGTTTACGACCACCTTGTCATTCTGCACCTCTCCACTGATGACATAGACTCCTGTGTGTGTACCTCTCATGATGTTGCGAACACAGGTGGCATCTAGGTCTAGCCAGTGCTGCAGTCTTGGGTGGATTTCCGCCCGGAGGAGGGGGCCATGCTTCAAAACCTCCAGCTTGGAATCCATGTCAAAAGCAGAGATGGTGGAGGTCATGTTCTTCCTGGAGATTCTAATTTTCACAGCTGGAAGAAGCAAATATGAAACAGTTACCTATTGTTATTACCCACCTGATTTATGTTCATTCCCTTTGGGATTTCTTTACTGCTGGTGGTTAACTACCTCACTCCCACTTCTGCTGGCAACATACAGAACTTTTCCATTTTGAATGTAATAAGTGTCATAGATGTTTCCCTGACTCAGTGATGTCCCAGCCAAATCGGAGGAGGTTGCGCTCAACTTGTAATCCTCCAAATCTGTGATTACAGCCTTTCTAGTGCCAGTAACTGTTCTCTTCACTTCCGCTCCCCTTTGAGTAGGGGGAAGGATGAGTGCTCATGAAGGAGGTTAATGCCACTGAATAGACAGAGGCACAGGGCAGGAAGTGGTTGTGCAGATGGCCTTGTGCATCTGTCCAGTGCACCTCAATCCTGCTCTGCACTCCCTTTGGTGTTCCAGTCTTAGCCTTTCTCTCAGCGCAGGGGCTGCAAGCACTAATATCCTTGTCAAAGTTGTCCAGGATTTAGCCATGAAGATTATGTGACTGAATGCTGTAGAACTTTGTGGAAATTAAAAGTTAAGCAAGCTGTTTGGCCCAACCCCACTACCTGCTCCAGTCTCTGGCCTCAGAGCAGAAACAGAGAATTGCTGGGATAACTGTGTTGGGGTTTGATGTGTGTAGGCTGGAGATGACCAAGTGTATCTGCCTTGATAGGAATCTGATTTGAACTCTGGCCTCCAAAGTGAACCACATGATTGGCTCTCGCAGCGTATGGGGGAATAGAACCAAAACCAATCAAAAATGCATAATGCAGGATGTTGGCCTTGGTGCAAGCTGTGAATTGTGGGCAAGTTGCCAGAGCAGCCCTGAGCAGTTTGGACACTTGACATTCAGCACATAGGTGAGGAATGAAAACTGTAAAGCTGGAGCCATACCTTTTCCAAGTCTTTCTTATAGCAAATAGAAGAGGCTTCCAGGGGATGCTGCTGTTTGGTTGGCTATCAGAGGGGAAGCAGCATCTGAGGTGGGAAGAAAAGGTATGTGTACTCACTGAAATCGTTGGCACAGAAGTTTTCCAGTATCTCCTTGGTGGTTCTGGCTTCCTCGAGCTCACAGTCCCTACAGCTGGCTCGGGGCACTGCTGCAACAGAGACCGAGTTATAGCATTCTTCTTGAAGCTTTTCCAAAAGCTCCTTGATGTGCCATTGAGAGCCTGGGAGATTCAAGTGCTCTAACAGGCCCAGCAACAACAGTGACACTGCCAGCTTCCACCATCAGTGTGCTGCCCCTCTGAACTGGAGCAGCTCACTGGAGGGTTGAGATGAAGTGCAGCCTCTGACCCATTCGCGTCTTGGGCTTTGTGTGTAGACTGTCAAGGAGGGAAATGATAGGATCTTTGCCTACACGCGTCCCTGTGTTACTGCCACTTGCCCAGAGCTGGAGTAGGTGGGTGCTGTGGTTGGAACACTCACTCCTAACACCAGTGGCAGCAGCAGTGAGAAATTACGGAAGGAAAAATCATCTCCCCACTTGTTTGGACTGTGTCCACCATTGTCTGCGTTTGCCTTGGTGTTTTCTCCACTCATCCATTATTTTCCTCTGTGCTTTGCTTATGCTCAGCTTTGCCATTCCCTTCTGTCACGGCTCATGGCATCTCAGGGTATGTGTTCACCACAAACAAGCAAAGGTTCGTTCTTAACTCATTAGCTAACTTGGCTTAAAACAGCAATGAAGACCCAGCAGCTCTGCTTCCAACTGGGTTAGGGGGTTAGTGCTCAAGTTCAATCCCAGGCTCCCCTGGAGGCTTTAACTCAAGCTGCTAACCCGAGGTAAAAGCCATGTCCAAGGTAGCTAACCTGAGTTAAGGACACTTTTTTGGGGGGGGCGTACCGAAGACTTACCCTAGCTTCCAGCTGGAAGCTAGGCTGGGTCAGTCAGTGGGCAGCTGCTTTTGAAGGCAATATAAATGCTATTTGTTGCATGGGCCGGGAAGGATGGATGTCTATTTGGCAGACATATCTAGCTGTTTTCCCCCCTTCTGAAATTAAAGCACATCACTTCTGTGCTCTGCTCAGGGTCTTCCAGAGTCTGTTTTCAGCCCCAGGTGCCCAGCACCAGCGAATAATTCAACTGCCTGAGGGTCATTCAGAAGGGAGAGCAGGGTATAGCGCTGCTAGAAGTGCAGGCGGAGTTTGTCTAGCCTAGAGCTTCACGTCTTCTCGTAAGTCACGTTCGCAGACACCACTGTCGGTACTAATGTAGACGCTCCACGAACCCTGTGGCCTGGAACAAATGTGTGTGGAATGTCTAGATGAGCCTTCACACTCGTGGTCACCTAACAGCAGCTACAGTAGGGGCCAACCCTTAGTGAGTGAGATTGGTTCTTCAGATGTGTGGTAGAACTGTCTTGTTATGCACTTGTTCTGGAAATGCTGGCAACACCAGCAGCCCAGCTAAAGGAGCACAACATGGGAAGGGTGGTGCTGGGGAGGATTTCTCCTTAAATTTTTACTTCAAAGCTGTTTGAATGTTGCTTCACACCCACTGGCCAAGAGAGGAGCTTGTGCCCTTTTTAGCTGTTTTCTGATGTACAAAGGCGGCCTGAATGGTTTTTCTTTAATATTGAGAATATTGAGCTGAACATCATTGGCTTTGCTGGACGATCTTGAGGCTATCTGAGCGTGTGTAGCATTAACTCTCATGCCTTGCTTGGAGGGGCAGGCATATTAAATCTATAACAAAGTCCTCCTTTCTCCAAAATGTTAAATAGTGATTGAAATTGAACAGGTTTTAACAGAAATAAAACCGCAGACTTCTAAATAGTCTGACTAAAAATTCTTCCCCCTCCTAGCTGCTGCTCTGTTTTGTCTCATTTCCTCAGTTCTCCAGTCACCACAGAATTCTCCTGGGTGCACAAAACCAGCATTTCTGTTGTACAAAAGCCTAGCAGAATTAAGAGGTCATTTTAAAAAGAAAAGCCCAAACATGGCACAGGCCCCTGTTTTTGCTTTGCAGTTCACCTTTAAATGTTATCTATGGCAAAGTGGGTTAGAAAAATGCCTTACTTCTCCTGCTCGAAGTGGTTTCATCAGTGATTGTTGAAATGCATAAGTTGTGATCTGCAGGGAACTTGTTGCAGTTCAGGATTTCAGGCCATGGGTAGCCATAGCAAGCCATGATTGGAGCACAGCTGTTCCTAACAGCTTCACAGAGGCTGCGGCAGGGGTAGATGAACCTAGTGAGAGAAACGGGACTGTGCTGAGTCTCAAGCTTTTCCCTGCAAGCACAAGTGAAGGGTTAACTGTTCCAGAGCAAGCTCAAACCACCAGCCTTCCTAAATTAACAGCAGTATGTTGTACCTTGGAATGACATACATATTCCCTACAGTAGCTTTAGTTTGCAGGAGGCAGAATACAACAATTACGGTCCCAGAGGTTTTCTCTAGGAAGGAAATATTGGAGTACTTTGTCTCAAAAATTGGTACTGATTTTCCAGAAACCATTAGTAAAGTGTCTGTACCGCTGTTTTAAATTGGGATTGGCCTTGCCTCCACAGGTTTGCATGTTAATAGTGCTGTAGCAGTTTTGACATACGCTGTGAATATGCACATTTTGAAACCAAATAATAAACGTTTGAGTGTTTGACACAAATGGGAGAGAATAGAATAGGATGAAATTATGGGCCGAGAGCCGTTCCCTTCTCCTTGTGAAGGGTGTTGCCACGGCCACCCATCTTCCCAAGGTGAAAGTGCTTGCTCTAGTGATGCAGCTGCTGCTTGTGTTTCTGTTCTGTTCTAACCAGGTCCCTGGAGCTCCTAAATTGCTCTGCAGTTCGTTGCCAAGCCACCACAAAAACCAGGATTTGTTCTTTGTAAGAACCCCTAGGTGCTGGAGTGTGTGTGTGGGGGGGTGTTGTGTAAGGAGAGGTTACTGGTAGTGACGCAGGAGCAGGATTATTTGGTTCTGCACAAGAGGAGTGGGAGACAAGGATCTTTATAGGTAAAGTTACTGGAAACCTGAAGTAGGAGAGAGGAGTTACTGTGTGCAGCACAGGGGAAATTCACTGTGTGCAACTGTGCAAGAAACTGGACTCCAGATGAGCCCATGTGCCATGTCTGAGAGACAAGTGGAGGGGGAGAAACACAAAGGGGGCCAACACCTAGAACAGGAGAGCAAAGAATTTAGAAGCAGGAATACAAGGGTTGCTGGTGGTGGGAGGCAAGGAGAGGAGCGAATTACTGTGTTGATATTTCAGGGATGGCCAGCCTCTGCGTGGAAGCGAAGAGAAGATGGGGGTTTTTTGCACACTATACAGAAGCTGGAGCATTGGGTGAAGACCAGCATGGTCTGCAGGTAGAAAACCACCAGTGGGTTTTCTGAAGTAATTACAGTTAGAAAAGTGTGTGAGTTATAAGGCAACTGATCTTCAAATTAAATTCAAAACCAAGGACACATTTCAGTTGTCTGGCAGGATTTTTATTTCCCCTCAGAAATGCCCCCAGGTAGAGGGGGGGAAACCCCTAGTGAGTCATCTCATTCGTCCCCCTGCCCATGCCACACTCTTCCTTACAATACTTTGGTGCTTTGTCCATTCTAGTTCTAAATTACTTTAGCAATTGAGTTTCCCAGCCCGTCTCAGGAGACTGTTCTCCTATTAGGAAGCTTTATCCGACAGACCATGTTGAAATAACATATTTGAAATGCCTTACCTGTCCAAGCAGATAGGTGCAAAGAGTGAGCAGAGGAAGATCCTGGCATCTGGGTGGCATTCTCTGGCTAGCAAGGGCAGCCAACTAGAAGACTGCTGGATCACCTCTGCCATAGTCTCATGTTCCAGCAGGTTGGGGATGCGCATATCTGAATATCCAATGTCGTAGCATAAGGCCATACTTCTTGGAATGAGCATACACCTGGAGGAGCTCCTCAAGAAGTACCCGTAAACTCCTGAGAAGCCCCAGTTTAACAGACATATGAAGACAGCCAACAGCCACTGCATGCTCAGTGTAGGAAATCTGCAGTTTGCTGCGTTCATTCTTTCTTCGGACCGGTAGCTGTAAAACGTTCAGAGATCAGGTGAGAGATCTGCCTTTTGCCGTGCACTGTGAACTGACTTGCTCCTGACTGGGAGATGGTTTTTATAGCATGAAGCCACCTCTCTGCTAATCCAGTCTCATTAAATGCAACCCTCTCGGAGCTCTTGTTGGAAGACGATACCACGGTTTGTGTTTGCCTTGATTGTTTGGATTTTTGTAGGGGGCTTGGCTGAGATCAGCAGGTGTTGATGGGGACACACACTTTGGAACAGCTTGGGCCCCCCCCCTTCTCCCTCCCTCCCTTCCTCCCCCCGCTTGGAGCTCTCTGTTCAACACCATTATGCTGGCCCATCCTCTTCTCCGGATTAGTCATTATTTTAAAAATGCCAGTGTTTTCCTCCCTTTTGTTTTTGTGGAAAAGCAATCAAGTGTTGCCCCAAGTCAATTAGGAGCCATTTGTTTAGCTTGATCCATTGTTAAACAGGCAGTGGGGTGGGATGGCCCTGTGTTTGGAAGTTAACCATTTCAGGGAGGTTTCTCCCCAGTTGGGAAACTGTTTACACACAGGATTACCAGCATTTGATTGACAAACTTCATCTAGCAGTCTGTGCCATAGAAAGCTCATTCTAGTGAATATAAATTGTATTTTGGTATGAAATCCAGCTGCTGTAATTTAGGAGAGGTGGTTCCTTCTCTAGCTGGTAATTAAATTCCAAAACCTTTATTGTCATGTTATTTCAGTCCAATTTAGGGACCTTAAAGTATTGGGGGTATTGCTTGTCAGTTTGCTCAGTTCTTAACTTGTTTCGCCACTAACTAGAAAGTGGCAAGTGGATGTTGCAGCTCTGCAGTATTTCTATGAAGAGGATTATGTGTGCTCCTGTCACAGGAAATTCTGGACACACATTGTGTTTTTTTGGGGGGGCTTCCTGGGAAGCGAGCAGCAGTGTTGTTTTCTGCAGACTTAGCACCTAGCTGTACTGAATTAGAAGCCGCCTACTCACTCTGGATTTTAGCAGATAGCCTCCATTCTAAACAGAAGCAATTACCTTAATTTTTTTCTTTTCAGTGTGTTTCTTGATTGGACTGTGGTCTGTTCTTAGCCAAGAGAGTTGCCAAAATTCTAGGGGAGGTAGTTCAGAAAGCAGGAGAGTGGTATTTGAGCTTTCAAAACTGGACTAGATGTGCTTTTCCCCCTTCCTACAATATCTTCAGTACTAATGAGGTTTGAGTGTAGCTGATGTGTCCTATGGGATCTCTCCAGTATCTCACTGACCAAGATTGTTAACCCCAAACTCCATTTGACTGGAATTCTTCTGCCTACATAATCACAGATGGATCTTTTCTCCTTCGAAAATTGTATATAATCTTGGTATTGGCTCTATAAGTTGCTAGCTTTGTGTTGCTAAAAATGGACATGTGTTTGATATAGTGTCTTGGTTCTGTAAAGTCTGTAATACACCTACCCTTTATTTTTGTGACTGTCAGTGGAATCTCTCTTCTTCCCCTGTGGTATAAATCTATGCTCCGAGATCAAGCATCTTAATTTGGAACCGAGACCACCTCACTGAGAGTGTGGGAGTGAGGTTAGAGGCCTTTCACATCAGTGGATTCTCTAAGCCAGGCTCCACTGAAGAGCACCTGGTTCTCTGCCAGATTCCCCTCCAAATGGGGGCAAAGAAAGCCTGGCAGCACTGCAAACATGCCCAACTCAAAGGCTCTGGGTTCTCTTCCTCTAGAGTAATTTCCTGTAACTAGGTATTTAGTAGAGTCCCTAGCGGCCCAATGGTTAGTGCTCTGTGCTGCCCCATTGGGATCAAGCTCCATGGGGATGAGTGGGGTGCATTGAAGGAAAGGATATTAAACTTTCTCCTCCCCCAAATCTGTTGGGAAGCTTCTAATTTTCTCCCCCTTTCTTTGTTGTCTGCTATAGGTTAGGGATTTCACTGCAACAGTTTCCTTGGTCTTTCATTCCCACTTCCTTTTTTTTTTTTTTCCTGCAGAAATTCCAGATTTCCTGACTGAAGAAGAGTGTAAGCTGATTATCCACCTAGCTCAGTTGAAAGGGCTGCAGAAAAGCCAGATCCTGCCTACTGAAGACTATGAGGAGGCCATGGAAATGATAGAAATCAGCCAAATGGACATCTTCAACCTGCTGGATCACAACCAGGATGGGCAGCTGCAGCTCAGAGAGGTGGGGAGAAACCTAGAGAGGTTTGATATGGGGACTTAAGAAGAGAGGCTGTTGTGAAGTTGCTCATCCTTGTATAGCTAATTGTACCAAGGCATGGCTGGAGCCCAGCACAGAACGTTTCATTACTTCATTGGAGGAGGTCAGGTCTCTACAGGACTGCAGCATGGAAGGGAGACGTCTTATAAATCTGAGAAACGTTCAGTAGCAGTGATCCTGCTGGGGGGTTGCTAGGAAATGTCTGCTCTGATCAGCTGCAAAGGGCTCCTATGGGCTGAACTATGCAGAGATAAGAGAAAATGTGCAGTTTTGTGTTATTTCATATCTTCAGGGCTTTAGCTGGCACCGGCAGGGCTTTGCTTGGTGAAGCCTGCTGAGCTAGCTGTGCCTTCCCATGGTGGGCAGGGCACTGCAGAGTCGCTGGTTAGAATTCTAGATCTGTGTGTAAGCTACTGAGTCCGCTAGGGTAAGCAAGTGCAGAGAAGGCCTCCGAATAAATACGGCCATTGTGTTACAGCACAGGATTGGGAGTCACAATCTGGATCCCAGTCGTGCCTCTGACTCAGTGTGTGACCCTAAGCAAGTCATTTCCCCTGGATGTGCTTCACATTTCCCCAGGTGTAGAATGGGGCTAATGACCCTTACCCTCTTTTGTGAAGTAACTTCAGGTATGTAGCTGAAAAGCTCCTATGTAGTTGCTGAGTATTGCTCTTGATCATAGTGTGACTGCAGAACAGGCCTTCTTCCTCCAAAGCCTGGAGTCAGTCTGTCTTTAGCTCTTTGAGGCGTTTCGTTCCTGGATCCTCCTCAGAGCAAACATTTCTTTCTAAACCATTCCCTATGAAAGTCTTTAAATGGCACAAGTGAACTACATTAACTCTGTAGCTGTTCAGTTGACTGTCCCTCCAAGGGAAAGGAAGACACGTGCTGCCTTTGCTTGGCTGTTGGCTGGCTTACTCCCAGCTGTGCTTTATGATGGCATAAATTGAAATGTTAGAGCAGGTGCTGGTCACACTGTTATAGCTAAGGTTGCAAAATAGCTTCCATTTGAATCCCTTTCTCAGGTGTTGCACTGGAGCCCTGCTACCTGATGTCCTTCAAAGAAGCTCTCTCAGGATTCAGAGCTACCAGCCCATAGGGTTTCATTAGCATTACAGAGGAGCAAATCATTGCCCAGGATGTGACTATCTTATTCATAATTTCAGGTGCTGACCCACACCCGCTTAGGGAATGGCAGGTGGATGACCCCTCAGAGCATCCGGGAGATGTACACGGCAGTCAAGGCAGATCCTGATGGCAATGGTGAGAGGGGCTTTGAAATACAGCCTCTGAGAATCTCTTTTATCTCTAGCGTATTGGAGACCAGATCCAGTGCTGTAATGTGAGGCTGGATCCAGAGCCTCATCTGTGGAAAAAGCCTGCTTTATATATACCAAAATGGAGAATCCAGGCACAAAGCCCACTTTCTCCCTTTGCCAGTCACCACCAGCCCTAAGAGCCCCCCTGTGAAGTAGGTAGATTTTATTCTCACACACACACCCTACTTTCAAATGGAGAAGCGATTTGCCTCAGCCCACACAAAAGGCTGCCTGTAGCGCTGGAAACAGAACCCATGCCTATGCCTGTAAGCTATGCCTTAATTTGTGCCACTGCATAATGGAGAATCCTTTGGGTGCAGCTCTGCTTTGTTTCCCTTTAGTTAGTTCTTGGGGGCCTGCAGCCCCTTTAATCACCAGAGCTGTAAGATGCTGCTGCCACACTCCCACCTTTTCAGGGGTGAGCCGCGTCTCCTTCCTGCTGCTCACAAATTTGGAGAGCTGCCCTGCTAGCTCCCCTTCCTGACGAAAGGGTGTCGGGGTCAGTGGACATGAGGGCAGTTTCCTCAGCCGGCTCTTGGTGCTTCTCTCTTGCCACCAGAGTTTTAATATGTTCCAAGAGCCAGTTCCGCCCGTCCTTCCCCTGGCCTCCCAAGAGCTCCCGCTGTCCCAGGCATGCAGTTTAACCTCTCTTGCTCTAATTAGAGTGCCGTCAATTGAGTGACTCTCCATTTCCTAATCAAATTAAGTAAACGTGCAGTCTGTGCACACTCACTTCCAGTCGCCTGGCTCTCTGAGCAGCCCCAGAGGAACTGCTTTGGAGCTGGGGAGCAGCATTTGGTGAATGGGAAATTTGGCTAAATATCCGGTCAGCATGCTTGCCTCAGTGCTCTCTTGGCTCATGAGGTTCTTGGCTGGGTAAAGGGAGGATTATCTAACGGTCTGAACTTTAATAAATGAGAAGCTTCAGTTCCACTCCCGGGGCCGTGCTCTGTGCCATTGGCAGGGCCTCACTTCCAGAGTCCTGCTCCCCTCCATTGTTACCAGCACAATGGGCAGGCCAGTTCACAACCTGGAAGTGGCACTGTGTCCTTAAAGGCGGGGCGGAGGGGCAGGACTGGGAGGTTGGGACAGAAGGGTGTGTGCAGACAGCTGGAAATGGTGACAGCTAATAGTTCAGCATCTGGGGAAACTGTCCTAACCTTCCCTCTGACAAGCCCCCTTCTTCCCTCTTGGGAAAGGGGACAGTGGGGTTCTATGTCCACCTGTGGCTATGAGCCATAATTTCTTGTCAGAGTTCTCTTATGTTCAGGGGCAGCTGGTTTGGGTGTTTGGTCCTCCTTTTGGAGGCTAACATTTCTAGTCCACAGTTAGATGTGCAGAGCTGTCTGGGTACACGCTGATTGCTGTGCTGGTCTATGAGGTTGCCACACTGCCAGCATATGACACACGGGGCTAGACCCCCAAACCTGATTCTTCTTAAAATAGAAAATGTCAGGGTCTTCCATAAATTGGGAAAGACAAAAAGATAATCCTGCCCTCTGCTGCTCACACATCACCATTACAGTGGAGAGTCCAGGCATGCATATCAGGACACCCGTGGAAGAAAATGTCTGTGTTTTAATGGAAGCCACCTTTTACATCTCATTTCTTGATTATTGTCATTCTCACAGTAACTATAACATACTCTGTTGCATTTGCCTTTCATGTTTCTCTTTGTCTTTGAATTACATAAATGCAGAAAAGCTTCACAATCAGTTTATAAACTGTTTTGCATTCACTGTTTAAAATTGGCAGATACGTTCTTGTTTGAAACGTGGGCAGAGTCCTTCTGCAGAGTTTTCAAATCAGAGTCCATTTATTCATCCAGTAACAAGTGGCAGTGCAGCCTTTTAGCTAAGGCATTTCAAAGGGCAAATCTGGAGGGGCTGTTTATTTCTTTTTGGTAGATTACTTTGTGTTCTTTAAGAGCTCTTCACAGTGAAAATATGGGTAACCAAAATGTAGCCCCAGAGTTCTACATCTCATGGCTGTTGCATTCCTAGAGGTCCCAGCATGGCCTCTGCCCAGATAAAGACGGAATATTGCATGCTGGGACCTGTTGTCTCTAATACGGCGATGCACCTGTGAAGACAAGAGCAAGTGCAGTCTTCCCTATTTAACACCTCTCAGATGTGGCTCTCTGGCTACCAGTGAGTTGCCAGTGCAGCCCTCAGACACAGTTGCAGGCCCTTGGAATGGTGTGCTTTCAAAGGGTAAAACCCTATGGTGCCTTTCGGTAGGTAACTGTCCCTGAAGGCAGGACACTACCAGGGAAATATGCACCTGGACCAGAAAGCTGAAAAGACAGCCTGCTTTCCTTCTCTTTCATAGGTGTGTTGAGTTTGGAGGAGTTTAAACAGCTAAACATTCGTGACTTCCACAAGTACATGGGGAGGCAGAAAGTGAAGATGAGTGATCTGGTGCGGAATAGCCAACACACGTGGCTGTACCAGGGTGAGGGGGCACATCAGGTCATGAGGTCCATACGACAAAGGTAAAGGCACTGGCAGGGGAAGGATGCTGTGTAGACACTGCCATTGTGTCGGGGAAAGGTTGGATGGGCACTCATGGTGGGGGCGGTATACACATAAGGCAAAGCAGCTGTGCCCGGGGTCCCGGGACAACACAAAGTGGTGGTGGTCTGTTCAGTCATCATGGGGTAAGAGCCTTTGGAAGAAGGGATCACTGAATGCTGACACCAAAGAGGGAGATTCCCATTAAGGCTTGAAATTCATCTACAAATGCATTGTTCTGTGGACAGAAATGAAGCCTTCAGCAACTCTTTGCTTCTGGGAGCAGCCTCATAGAATCACAAAGACTCAGTGTTACATGGGATAACTAATGGAAACATTCACCGGGTGAAATTGTTGCCTATTCCAAGGGTTGGCTAATTTGCCAGTAATTACTGTGCATTTACTTTAACTACTTGTACATCTCCCTGGATCTCTCCCAAGTAGAACTGACTGCTAAGAAATGTAGTTTTATTCCAGTTTAGCTAAACCAGTTTAATCCATTGAGCATACATCCAGTGATATGCCTTGCTGTGAAGGTTTGGCCCCATTTGTCCATCCATTGAGGCTGGATTCAGCCCTGCACAGACCTCAAACCCAGCCCTCCTGACAAGCCCTAATCTGAGACACTCATTCACTACAGATGCAGCTGAAAGTCACTTCCATCTCCCGGCAGATCATTTGGCCTCAGTGGGCTTGAGAGAATTAGTCCTGGCCTAGCAAGTGGGTGGCTAAAGTGTGGTTCAAGGCCTAAAAGTGGCTCTTTGCTCACGAAAGCTTATGCTCAAATAAATTGGTTAGCCTCTAAGGTGCCACTAGTACTCCTTTTCTTTTTTCCTCTTCAGTGTGTCCCAAAAAGAGAACTGGTCCCAGTGTGTTATATGCCACTTTGACCAGAATGGGGCAGCAGCTGCTGTTTGCTTTGTGCCTGTTAGCTGGAGCCCATGGGCTCCTGGTTTAATGCCAGCGTGGCCCTTATTTGGGCAGTGTTGGGGTGTCCCTGCTGAAGCGGAAGCTTACTATTCCAAAGGCTGCTATTAAAATCTTTCGTAGGATTTGGAGATTCTCAGAAGCCAGAGCCCACATAATCCTTGTACAGATGTTGTGATCCTGGCCTACCATTGGAGTCCTCTTCCCCCTATCCCAAAAGGGTAACTACTCTGGGTTCTTACAGACAGTGTATCTGAGAGGTTCCTGCTCGCTTTGGGGATGATTGGAGATGTAAGAAGTTCTTGAGGGGGACAGAAATCCTAGAGCACGAAGGTCTGGTCTCATTGCTCGCTTCCCATGCACCTCAATCCTGTTGGGGATGATGCAGAACAGGAAGCGGAGGGATGGATGAGAAATGTGATAAGGCTATTGATAACTAAGTCTTTCTGCCCTTCCATGCAGTCCTATCGTGGTCCCTCTGCTTTGCTAAGGATCTCTGAACTCTATAGGGTCATTTGCAGGACCCTTGGGAAGGGGAGGACATGGCACCTGGAGATCTCCAGGGACATGTACAGAAAGGAATCTTTCCCAGCAAGTGGCAGCCCTGCTGAGTGAGAGCAGCTTAGCCAGGAAGTTTCTGATTAACACTGACTAGGCTTTTCTGCTCCATTGTTCTGGCTGTCCAGTTCTGCAATGGGTCCCCTTATTCTGTATGCACTAGGTGTGGTGCTGTGCACAGTGTTTCCAAAGAAACTCAGGTATAAAAGTACACCTGGTACCTGCTGGTCCTCTGGACTCCCGAGTTCCTTAGAGCAGGGAGGTGCTGGTCACTGGTCCATTTCACCAACTGTATAGTGCTGATGTTGACTGTGCAGTGAGTAAACATTGTTGAATTGTTCGCAGAAACATGCATTCCAGTCGTCTTATAAGCAGGTTTGGGTATCTGGTGACCTTTCTTCTTGGCACGAGGCCCTTCGCTACTGCAACGAGGTGACCTATCAATTGACTTAAATGACAAATGTCACCTTCTGCCCCTGGCTGATTGCCACATTGTGTGTTGTTCTAAAGCAGTTTGATTCATTCAGGCAGAGCCCCCTCTAGGGTACCTTTTGAACGTGCATTGGCATGTTCCCTTTACCTCAGGCTCCTGGCTTCTGCTCAGGGTTGAGAGGGTTGGGTTTACACACACTATTCTCTCTAACTAGGGGAAAGGAGAACGTTTTAAACCATTTAAAATGCTCTCTGCGTCTCAGCTGAGAATGACATCCCATGGGGAAACCGGGTGCTGGAGCTGACAGGCTGTGAGGCAGGCTGGATCCTACAGAAGGGATTCAAAAGGGAGGAACCAGCTTCCCTGTACTTAGATCCGTCCTGGAGACTCTTCTACCCTAACACCTGTGTGAAGTCCCCAACTCATAAGATCAGGGAGAGAGGCCGTGGGATAGTTTATACACTTGAGAATCATCGATTTGTCTTATCAAGGCCTTGACTAGTTATCACTGGGCCCATTTGCTGCAGCTCTTCTCCTTTGCTCCTCCTCTTAGATAGGTTCTTTGAGGCAGGAAGCATCTCCCTGTCTGTAGAGCACTGTGCACGTTCCTGGTGAGCATAGTGGGATTCATAGAAGATTAGGGTTGGAAGAGACCTCAGCAGGTCATCTAGTCTAACCCCCTGCTCAAAGCAAGACCAACCCCAACTAAACATCCCAGCCAGGGCTTTGTCAAGCCGGGCCTTAAAAACCTCTATGGATGGAGGTTGCTTTGTTCTGCTTCTCCCCGACCTGCATTCCTGCTTCCCCAGGGTGATGCGCTTGACCCGTCTGCCTCCTGAGATTGTGGAGCACAGCGAGCCCCTGCAGGTTGTGCGATATGACCAGGGAGGGCACTACCATGCTCACGTGGACAGCGGGCCGGTGTTCCCAGAGACAGCTTGTAGCCACACCAAACTGATTGCCAATGAGAGCACTCCCTTTGAGACCTCCTGTCGGTGAGTTGTGTGCTTAGCTGTTGGCTTCACACCAAGCCAGCTTGGTGACCGGGCTCAGTCTGGGATCAGATTTAAAAAGAGACCTATCTAAAACAATCTGGGTGTGAGATGTGGGGCTGAAGGCAGCTCACTTCACTGCACATAGATTGTGGGTTTGCTTGCTACCTTGCTCAACTGAAATGAGACTGAGGGGGTTAACCCCTTTTATCCCTCTGGCCAGTACAAGAGAGGCACTGACTGGCTCCAGGAAGCTGTTGGCCCATCCCCACTGGAGGCTAGAACAGTGCTCCATAGTGGGGATAATCCTCCATTTTAGCCACACCATTAGGAGCAGATGAGATGGTCCCTGTTAGCCTTCTCCTTGGAGAACAGTCTATTCAGGTTCTGGGCCAGGCAATACATCCTTGAGCCCCTATGCACATGCCAGCAAATCTAGCCCATTGGTTGTGGGGATAGGGAGTTTAGGGAAGGGCTTGTGCAACAGCCTGTGGGTATCTTCACTATTCCAGTTGCACCCTGTAAGCAGCTGTGCTCTCTGTTTTACAGCTATGTGACAGTGCTGTTCTACCTGAACAATGTGACGGGGGGAGGAGAGACCATCTTCCCTATAGCTGATAACAGAACCTATGAAGAGATGGTAAAGGAGCCTCTCCCCCACCTGCCCCCGTCTGTGTTTTTGCTGGCCCGAGTTTGTTTGTTTGTGGTTGGGGAAAGGCGGATTTGGGGCTTGGGTTTACACATGCTATACTCTCTAATTAGGGGAAAAGAGAACATTTTAAACCAAGTGATAATGCATGTGGCAAAGCCGAAAAGGAAGAGACTAGTACAGGGCTGTGTCTAACAGGGGGACATTGGAGAGCCTCCCGGGGAGAGTGAGCCAGTGCCCTAGCACCGGTTCTGCTTTGCTTCTTGCATCTTGGCAGATTTCCTCACAGGAGGATGAAAGCTCTCCTCATTGCATGCACTTCGCTGTCACTCTAGCTGGTGCACAAAGGGAACGGGAGACTATTCACGTGGCCAGAAGGATGGCAGAGCACCTGGGGCAGGGTGGGAGGGCGGGCAGCTCACTGACTTCTGTACTGCCTAAATTGGCTGCTGTAAATGTGAGGGGAGCCTCCTGTTCTGCCTAATGCAACAGAGCTGTTTTAATGGAGGGTCTGATAAAGGGGGATATGATGGAGGGGGGTAGAGGCTCCTCATCCCAGTCCTATTTGCGGGGTAGTGTTTATTCTCGTGTCTTTTTCTCAGTCTCTGATTCAGAATGATGTTGATCTACGAGACACGCGGAAAAATTGTGATAAGGGCAACCTGCAAGTGAAGCCACAGCAGGGCACTGCTGTCTTCTGGTACAACTACCTGTCAGATGGGGAAGGTACTGTCCCCCCTCAGCACTATGCCTGTTGGGAGGGGAAGAGAGAGGATTTGGGAGGACAGCAGCCTGTTTCTTTGGGCCTCGCTGTTTGTGTTGTGGGTCAGGGCATTTCTTCACATGAATTCTGAAAGGATGGCCAAGGAACAGCAGCCAGGAACTGATGAGCACTGCTGAATTCTCCTTGGTAGTAGCTGGGCTGAATCTTCCTGTGTTTACAGCCAGAATGGTTCCTAACTTCTTTGGAAAACTTCCCCAATTAGCAGACTAAGACCTTGGCTGTACCAGCCATTGCTAGCTGCTTTCCTTTCAGCTGTGTGAGCTCTAACCCATCCTGGAACCTGGGCTTCAGTTCTAAGAGTGTCCTTTTGGCATGATGCGTTATACAGATTGCCCAAGTGTGATAGGGAGAGAGCCATCAGATCTTGGATGTGGGGAGAAAAATACAGCCTACACAGGAGTTTGCTGTGAGGTTAATCTCCCTCCATCCATTCCTGCTCCAACATCAGGTTTCCCCATGACATGATATCATACCTGCAGTTGTGTCCCTACTCCCTGTGGTCAGCACAGGTTTCCTCATTCCTGATAACCGGAGTACCTCTTTGCCCCCTGCATGTTGACCATTGGATGAAGTATGGGGTGTAGCTATTTGCACTGCTGAGAGACCGTCACTCCTCTTTTTGCATTCTCCTCCTTCAAGTTTATAGTCATTGATGTCGTAGCTTAGTGTTACGCTTATGTCAAAGCCAAAGCTCCATGATGAGTCAGAGCTGGCACAGTCAAAGGAAACCAGTCCCAAGAGCCAAAGGTGCTGACACTGGTGCAGAGGCATTAATCCTGGGGACCACTGTTCTTATCTCACAGGATATTGTTTTCAGAGAGTCTAGCTCCGTGTTAGTGTGTATGCCGTTACCATGATGGCACACACATAGTGGTCAGTGCATTAGCTAATCAGACACTTGAATGTATGCTTGTGCTGCGCACCACGTCTGTCTGAAAATCTAGTCCATAATACTGGGACTAGAGTGGCGTGTGTGGATTTCCTGTGCACCTCTTGATTCCTATTAGAATCCACTGGATGAAAATTTCTTAACACTTCAAAAACATATATGGTAAATGCCTGCTCCCTTTTATACTGGTCTTCTATTGTCTGTTAGTCAGACTAAACAGAGGGTTGGGATATGCTTGAATCTTCCTAATTGCAGGTGCATGTAACCCAGGGTATTGGGACACTAGATCAGGAGTTCTCAGGGCACATTTTTTGCTCTTGCTGGTGGTCGTGCTCTCACTTTTTTTCCTAAAATACTTAATTAGCTTTAGGAAAAACAAATAAATATGCACATGCACACATCCAAATCATTGTCATTTATTTATTGCTAGCTAATAAGTCTGTTGTGAAAAGTGATATTAACGAGCATACAAGTATCGCTTTTCACAGCAGACTTACTCAGCCCTGTCAAGCCTGGGGACAAATTAAGCCCTGGATTGGTGGAGGGGTGTTGGGGGAGGTGTTGGGGGCCAGAGGCAATGGGGGAAGATGGGGGGTGGGGGCTGGAGCCCCAAGCTCAGTGGCCAGAGCCTGCCCCCCCTCTGCCTCACCACCCCAGGGCTGAAGCCTAAAGCCTGAACCCCACTGCCCCTGGAAAGGTGGGGAACTCACTGGCTGCCTGATCCTCCAGCATTGTTCCCCAGATTCTCCACAGGGTCCCAGCAACCAACGCCAAGGCGGTGCATCCAGGAACAATAGGGAGGGACTGCTACTTTGTCCCCCTCTCCCCCCCCAATCACAGCCCAGGAGGCTGTGGCCCCAAGAAAAGCCCCTGGTGGCCGCATGAGACACACACTACACTAGATTTTGAGATCGTGGTGGAGAAGGGAAAGGGGATTACAGCTGCCTTGTGAGCAGCCTGTGATTTCACCTACAGGAAATCCCAGCAGAAGGTAATGAGGCACCACTGCCATGGGGAGACTGAAGGACAGGTCTGGGCTCCAGCCACTGCACAAGACTATAGAGAGCCTCAGTGTGCTGTAATTGAGATCCCAGTGGCTCTGTTCAATAGCAAACAAACAGAATACAAAGAATAGCTGCTGATGTGAGTTTGATGAGGAGTAGGTCAGAGAGAATCAGCAGTGCTGTTGGAAAGTGCTGGGGATTGGCCATAGCTGCTGTAAAGTCAGTTGTTTCTTTTACATGATAGAATTAATTAATTTAAAATACAGATTTTTACCTTCCAGCAGCCATGGGATTTTGCCTTCTACTGGCAACATCTGTCATTTCTGTCCTGCTTTGAAAACTGTTCTTCACATCCACCAATGTTAAGTCCATAGGTAGTGATTAGTTAGCTAGCTATGGCAAAGCTAATCCCTGGATTTCTCCCTTAAACCAAGTCACTGTCCTAAAATCATAGTAGCTGACGTGGTCTGGCATCTCCTTTTGGGCTGGATAGTTGTACTTGTCAACAGGAGAACAATATGTGCAGGCCAGAAGTTAGTCCTCGGCCACATGTTTGTCTGCACTCCACTGCCCTAGAGAGACACTGCAGGGTTGAGAGGTACAGTAGAGTGCAGTGCTTCCCAACTTGACAGTTATGGTTTATTTTCCTTCTGCAGGCTGGGTTGGCGACCTGGATGAATATTCCCTGCACGGAGGCTGCCTCGTCACTCAAGGAACCAAATGGATTGCCAACAACTGGATCAATGTTGATCCCAATAAGAGGCGCCAGCTCCAATTCCAGCAGGAGATGGCTCACTATGCCAAAGAGGGGGATGAGGCCCAGAATGAATGGACTGTAGATAAATCCTACAGCAACATGCATGTGGAATTGTAGTGTCCCAGCACAGCTGGGCTTGGAGGTGCCTCTTCAGTAACACTGTGGGACCCTTTTTGCACTTGCCAGTTTAGTTTATATTGATTTATATTTGGTATTCTACTGTTCCCCCTCTCCCCACACACATCCCTGCAGAAGTCTCAGGCTCAGCTGTAACCTGCATCTCTGTTGGTCAGACTGGGAAAAGCACTCCAGTAACGAGCATGTTGGGAAGCAGGCCTCATGCTAATGAGACAGAGGTTGAGGAAGATTTTGATAACACATGTATTTTTATTTCAGGGTTTTTTTTTTGTGGGGGAGGTCCAAGTATCAGTGAGCTCTGCCTAGCTGAGGCTTCTTGCCTCTCCAGGCAGGGCCTTCTACAGGGGAAAGGTGCTGTCAGTGGGTCTGCAGGGTTTCAACCCCTCTTAATCCTGGGTCTCTGTTTTTTTCCCATTGAAATTGATTCAGTCTCTCTTTAGCTGCCTCCACAGGGGTTTCCTTGGCACCTGCCAGTTTCTGTCCCTAGAGCATCCTGCTGCTAGTCCCTTCTCCCTCCAGAGCATGAGAGCATCAGCTCGGCTCTCCTGACCAGTAATTGGCAGCACTGTCAGCCAAGCCTGAGCCCTCTGGTATGGAGGCTGTATAATCCAGGAGGGAACATGGGAAGTGGGGTCACTGAGCTTCTGCATTAAGCCACTTCCCTAAATTCCAGTCCCATGATGTGAGACTGATTAGGGGGCAGAGGGTGTCACTCCTTCCGTATTAGGAGGAAGGGAAGTGTTGCAGGTGCAGCTGTGTGACTATGGAGATCTTACAGCATAATGCTAATGGTGAATCCTTCTCAGGGGTTGATGTGGTTCTGAAATGCTTTTAAGTTGTGCTGATTATCAGGGAGAAGGGAAGCTTTTATGTGCAATAGCATCAGGGCTGGGGTAAGTGGGGGAGGGGGGGAGAGTTTCACTCTAACCCCGTGATTTGTGTGGTTGCCTTGCTAGGTTTTTGGCTGTTTTGTGAAGGTTCCTTCTGCCAAGTGATTCATTTGCCCCCCAGTCATGGAGCTACGTATATATGCCAATGTGTCTGTAGCAAATTGGAAGCACATGGGGGAATGAGTCCCAGTGCCTGTCTCCGGACAACTGAACAATAGACGTCTCCGTGTATCATCATCTGATCCTCACGTGCTGAGGAGTTGGTCACTCCCAGCTTGCCGCAGCTTGAAGCGTTTTCTTCCCTAACTGCTGTAGATTTCAGTCAGTGGTTTTTTTGTGGGAGGGAAACAATTTGAAATGTAGTGAGGAGTGAAACAGATCCCTGTCTTGCCACAGCATAGGGCACGTGCTGAATGCATGACTGCAAGCTCTGGAGATGGGATTTCTTCACTGCTAGTAGTTCCAGAAAGTCAACAAGTGAAGGTCCATGCAGCCCTTAGGGCTGAGTGAGCCTGTTGGATGTGCAGCCACCTGCTGAGGATGTGGCTGGAGTTGTGGCTGAGGAGAGAGATGGGTGGGTTGGTTGGTTGGCTTGCTTATTTATTTATTTTAAGGTTGCTGAACTGAGGAGAGGGCTCAGTGTGCTACTTCAGTGCCTGGTGTTCAGGCCTAAGGCCAGGTGGATGCACTGATGATCACAGCTCTGTCTCAGTGTGATAGTATTAGGTTACATGCCATGCTCGTGAGAGACAACTTACTGCATCAGGGAAATCTGCAGACAGTCCTGCTGCAAGTTACCCTGCCTAGCAAGGAGATTAGCCATGACAGAAGGCGGGGGAGGGAGGAAGTGTTGGTATGAAATCTAATTCCCTTTTATTGCTCTCTGGGTTTTGGGAGCAGTTTGAAATGTTCAGCAGAACATTAGCCCCAAAGAATGGGGGTTGTCCTATAGCCCCAGCACTAGGAAACTGGGTATGTTGCTAATACTTATTATTGTGTTACTATACTGTTACTCAAGTAGAAATATGAGATGCACTAGGCTAGTGATGCATGTTGTCACCATGCAACCCTCCCAGACAAGGAGACCAAGAGGGACCCTATCAGCATTCTGTGTCTCATAAGAAGGTGCATCCAGAAACAAGCCTGCAGTAGGGGATCTCCTACCAGGGGCACTGCAAAGGGTTAACAGTGTGTTGCATTACTGCTCTCTTCCAGGTGCACACTTGAAACCTGCTGCCACTTAGTGAGCAGGTAGCTGGATAGCAGGAGTGTATTGTAAAGGGTCTTCTGGAAGAGAGTAACCATAGCGGGAATAGAAACAAGACTCCAATGACCTGTCATGTTCAAGACCCTTTCTAACTGTATGTTCTTGACAGGGATTCTGGGGTTTGGTGTGTACTTTGGGGATGTTGCTGCCCCTTCCTGTGTTCTTTCCACTTTATCAGCAGAGACTAATCTAAGAATGGAGGATTTTATACGTTATTTTTTTAAGATGATGTAGCTCAGATGCCTTCTTCACAGGGTGATGTGATGTCGTCGTTTTATGTATTCTTCAGAGGGCATGACTTTTTATTGGATCTGCCAAGTTCAAGCCTGCATTCAATCTTTTTGCTACTCTTAGCTCATTTGAGTGACTTGGCACTGTCAGTTGCATGTGCAAGTGACTGACCATTGTCTGTACTTGGTTTTCTGTTTTCCATGTCCTCATGTGCACCTGATAAGTTGTTCATCCCTTATTTAATATTTATTTAATTTATTGTATTGTATTCATGTGCAAAGAAGCTGCCTGTCCTGAAGATAAAGTTTTGAAAACTACTAATGCCAGAGTCCGAGGATGTGTTTCTCGGTGCTGCCGGTTTCTGCAAACCTCCACCCTTCCCAGCTGCGTGAGGTTTCTGAACCCCCGCCACCTGTTTGTGTCATCCCATCGCAAGGGGGTGCTGTGGGGCGATGCTGCACTGCGGTGTGACACACCTGACTGGGTAAACGCTGCAGGGGCAGGACTGGGCTGCTCACAGAGCACTGGCCACTGGAAGTGCCCCAGGTGGCTATGACATGTACCTATCAATGCTGTTACCGCAGGAGTGCCTGGGCCCGGGGTGCTCGGCGCTGCACAGACCCGTGCCCCGAGCTGACCCGCAGGGGCTGGCGGCACGAGAGAAGCGGGAGCTTGGGCAGTTCCGGGGGGGGTCTGGGGGGCCGGCCACGTGGGCAGCGGGCCCAGGTGCACGGATTTGGCGCCGCGAACGCTGGGACTAGGGCACGCAACAGCCCTCGCGACCGCCGGCCAATTGGGTGCAGCGTTAGAGAACCGGGACGCGGAGCGCCTCGCGGGCCAGTAAGGAGCCTCTCCATTGGTGGGTGGGCATGTGGGCGGGGCCTTGATCTCCCGCTTCCGGTCCCCGTGCCTGGCCGGCCTGGGCTCGCGCCAGGGGCCGCGCGGGGCCAGGGCGCCTCCCCGGGCAGCCCCCGCCATGGAGCCGCGGCTGCTGCGGGCGCCTGTCACGGCCCTGCGGTTCGTGGGGGGAGCCCGGCTCGTGGCAGGTGGGGCCGGGGGAGGGGGGGCCGGGCACCCCGGGGGGGAGAGGAGTGAGCGGGCCGGGGGAGGGGGGGGCGGGTACCCGGGGGGGGGGGAGAGGGAGCGGGGGGGCCGGGTACCCCGGGGGGAGAGGAGTGAGCGGGCCGGGGAGGGGGACCGGGTATCCTGGGGGGGGGGACCCGGGGGAGGGGGAGAGAGCGGGGGGGCGGGTACCCCGGGGGGAGAGGAGTGAGCGGGCCGGGGGAGGGGGACGGGTATCCTGGGGGGGGTACCCGGGGAGGGGGAGAGAGGAGCGGGGGGCCGGGACCCTGGGGGAGAGGAGTGAGCGGCCGGGGAGGGGGGGGACCCGGGGGAGAGAGGAGTGGGGGGGGGTACCCCGGGGGGAGAGGAGTGAGCGGCCGGGGGAGGGGGGCGGGTACGCCGGGGAGGGGGAGAGAGGAGCGGGGGGGGCGGGTACCCCGGGGGGGAGAGAGGAGCGGGCCGGGGGAGGGGGGGGGTACCGGGGGAGAGAGGAGCGGGGGGCCGGGTACCCCGGGGGGGAGAGGAGTGAGCGGGCCGGGGGAGGGGGCTGGGTACCCGGGGAGGGGGAGAGAGGAGCGGGGGGGGTACCCCGGGGGAGAGGAGGACGGCCAGGGGAGGGGGACCGGGATCCTGGGGGGGGAGAGGAGGAGCGAGCCGGGGGGGGGTACCCGGGGGAGGGGGAGAGGAGCGGGGGGGGGTACCCTGGGGGAGAGGAGTGAGCGGGCCGGGAGGGGGGGTACCCGGGAGGGGGAGAGGGAGCGGGGGGAGAGGAGTGAGCGAGCCTGGTACCCCGGGGGGGGAGAGAGGGGCGGGGGCGGGTACCCCGGGGAGAGGAGGGCGAGCCGGGAGAGGGGGGCGGGTATCCTGGGGGGGAGGAGGAGCGAGCCGGGGGGGGACCCGGGGAGGGGAGAGAGGAGCGGGGGGGGCCGGGTACCCCGGGGGGGAGAGGAGTGAGCGGGCCGGGGGAGGGGGGACCGGGTACCCGGGGGAGAGAGGAGCGGGGGGGAGAGGAGTGAGCGAGGAGGGGGCCGGTGCCCCGGGGGGGAGGAGGAGCGGCCGGGTACCCCGGGGGGAGAGAGAGAGGACCCCGGGGGGGAGAGGAGTGAGCGAGCCGGGAGAGGGGGGCCGGGTATCCTGGGGGGGAGAGGAGGGGGGCCGGGTATCGAGCCGGGAGAGGGGGGGCGGGTATCCTGGGGGGGAGAGGAGCGGGGGGGAGGGGAGGGGGGGGGGGGGCCGGGCCCGGGGGAGAGGAGTGAGCGAGCCGGGGGGGGGGCCGGGTACCCTGGGGGGGGGAGAGGAGAGAGCGAGCCGGGGGAGGGGGAGCCGGGTATCCAGGGGGGGGGGCGGATACCTTGGGGGATAAGCTGGGAGAGGGGGGCTGTGCACCCCGATGGGGGAGGGCCTGGGTACTCTGCGGAGGGCTGGACGGGGCGAGACAGGCCTGCGTATCCCAATGGGGCGACCACAGAGCCACACACATGGTGCCTGTCAGCCCGGGGCTGCACTGTTGGGCTGGTCAGCACGTGTCTGGTGCTCGCCCGCCCTGGGTGCAGCTCATCCACCGGCCCTTCCTGGGAACGTTCAGCCCTGCATCTCCTCCGCCATGCCAGGCGTCTCCTGCCGGCTGCTGCCTGCGGGACCCCTCTGTCGCATGACTGCCGACAGACAGAAAGGCCTCTGGCAAACAAGGGGACATTCCGGTGCAGCCTTCGCTGCGGCACCAACTGCTGCTGTGGAGGGACGGGGCGCCCGGTGCACTGGCGGGTGCTGCGCCGGCCCAGGGAGGGCACTGCTGGGAAGGGGGATAACTCTGATCACTTGCTGCCTGTTAGGTGAAGGACCCAACGTGGTTGTGTACAGCCTGGATGCTGGCGGCGGAGCTGCGGGGAGCCATTGGCAGAGGGTGCTTCGGAACCATCGTATCCACGGGATCAAGGAGCGGAGGAGTCCCTCCTCAGAAGCTGAGCAGAGGACTCTGGCTGTCTTTGGGGGCAAAGGTCTCATTGTCCTGGAGCTGTGTGCACGAGGGAAGGAAGTGAGTCTAACTGAACTCTGCCAGCTCTGTGAGCTGCACGACTGGATATGGGATCTGCAGTGGTTGGCAGGCAGCACAGGGACCCTCACTCACGTTGGGTTAGCCCTTGGCCATAATTCTGTGGCACTGTATGACTATGCCAGTCACAGGACCCTGCGGGAGGTGCACTGCGAGGAGAAGTGCATCCTCTACTCTGCTTATCTGGTTGGAGACAGCTGGAATGAGCTGGTGGTAGTGGCTGGCACAGTCTTTAACCAGCTTGTGGTCTGGCGCGTGGCTGACGGGAGCAATGAAGAAGCAAGGATAAAACCCCAGAGGAGGGTCAGTGGACACGACGGAGTCATTTTTAGCATCTGCTACTTGAAGAGCAAAGGCATATTGGCCTCAGCCTCGGATGACCGGAGCATTAGGGTGTGGGATGTTGGGGACCTGCAAGCACCTCGTGATCCAGTGCGCTGTCTCCTGGTGTGTTATGGCCACCAGTCAAGGGTGTGGTCTGTCAGGCTGCTGAGTGACTATCTCATCAGCATCGGGGAGGACGCTGCCTGCATTGTGTGGAACTACAATGGAGAGGTTGTTCAGAGCTTCAGAGGGCACAAAGGGCGCAGTATCAGGGCAGTGGCTGTCCATGAGGCACGGGGCTGGGTGGCCACAGGTGGGGCTGACACTGGGGTTAGACTCTGGCACATTAGAGGACCTGAACCCAATGGGAATGGCCTTGTGCAACTAAACTTCAGCCCGCCCCATAGGAATGGATCCCCCAAGGCCATAAAGCTGGTAGACGCAAGCCAGCTCCTCGTGATGACTGATGCGGGGGCCATCTACAGCTACGACTTGGCCTCTAAACGCTGGGCTTTGGTCATGGAGGATGCAAACTATCAGTCCTACTGTCTCCTGGAAGTTGTGCAACTAGCCAATGGCATCGTGCTATGTGCCATGGGCAATCTGACGGGGCATGTCAAAGTCTTTCCCCTCTGCTGCCCCACAGAAAGTGAGGAGAAGAGGCTGTATGAGGGGAAGGTCCACAGCCTGAGCTGGGCCGCATGCCCACGTGGGGATCCCAGCCAGCATGTGCTCTTTGCCTCTGGCCCAGGGGGTGTTCTGCTCTGGCTGGAGGTCTCATGCTGCTCCTCTGGACGAGTGGCTTCCGTGGTGGAGAAATGTTGCTATCTCTTGCCAGTCTGCAGGCACAGGTGGCATACAAGCGTGGCCTTCTTGCCCGAGGAGGGGCTTTTGGTCTGTGGTGACCGCAGGGGCTCGCTGCTGCTGTTTCCCTGCAGCACTGCTCTGGGATCTGCCTTTAGCATCTGTTCTGTGCCAGGACAAGGGGATGCTGCTGATGACCCTGTGGGTCATGGTTTGGTCTGTAAAGACTCCGGTGACAAGCCAGGTTTGATTTCTTCCCAGGGGGAAGGAAACCGCCCCGTTCAAGGTCCCATTTCCCTGCTCTTTGGGCTTCATGGGAAGCTGGGTGTGACCTCAGTGACCTGCCATGATGGCTTTGTTTATAGCACGGGCAGGGACGGCTGCTACCGCCAGCTGCGAGTGCAGGACCGGCAGCTGCAGGTGCTCAGGAAGCTGAAGCCATGCAAAGGGCTGGAGTGGATCGAACAGCTGCACTTCACCCCTGGTGGGAACCTGCTGGTGCTGGGCTTCCATGCAAGCCACTTTGTGCTGTGGAGCTCCCGGACCAACGAGAAGCTGCACTGTGTGCCATGTGGCGGGGGTCACCGCTCGTGGAGTTACGGCCGCTGGCTTGCTTCCGAGGTCTTTGCTTACATCAAGTCTGGGGACGTCTTCGTCTACCAGAGCCGGGGCGGGCCCAGCAGGCAGCACCTGCTGAGGGAGCCTCTGCATGGGCGGGAGTTGACATGCGTGCGGCATGTGGGCACAATAAGGACCCGCGGGTGCTGCCCGGTGGATATCCTTGTGACCAGCAGTGAGGACATGACTGCCAATGTGATTGCCGTCAGCGAATCATCCTATTCATTGGCTCCACTCGCAGCCATCAGCGACCACATCTCGAGCGTGAGAGCTCTGGCCGTGGCCAGTGGCAGTTGGCAGGAGGAGACAGCCACCTGGTCTGCTCTCCTGTTCTCTGCAGGGGGCAGGGCTGAGATAGAGTGCTACAGACTCCTGCTCAGCTGTGACCACGATGCCAGGAGTGGCGTGGCCTGCCAGGTCGTCCACGTGGCCTCCCACCAGCTGGACGAGCACTGGGATCGCATGAGGAACAAGCACCGAGTCATCAAGATGGACCCGGAAACCAGGTAACACCCCGGCATTCCCCAAGGAAACAGGGATGTGGGCTGGGGCCACATGGGGAGCTAGTTCCTGCCAGGGCACTGGAGAGAGAGCCTGAGACCCCTGCAGTCCTCAGCCCTTCAGGCCAGGCAGGAACTCTGCTGATGCTGAGGCTTCAGGACGGCTGAGCCCTACTCCCCTCTCTCCCCCACCCCAGTCACATAGCTGAGGGCCCAGCTGAAAAGGGACTTTGCCCTCCTGTCCTAGAGAGCTCACCCCATGTCCCTCATACCTCCGGTCGACCTGGAGATTGCCAGGCTGGTGGGATCTGCCTCGCAGTCTGCAGATCAGGGCAGGGCTCTGCTGCTCTCAGTGTGGAGGCAGGGACTAGGGTGTGGATCAGTCCCTACTGTTGTCTCCTCTGAGAGGCGAGAGCTATGCAGTGTGTTGTGCTGGGGGTTGTAGTCAAGCTGTGGGGCTGCCCTGTGGTGCCCCGCCACAGGATTGGTCATCTGCCTGTCCTGTGGAGACTAGCCAATGGGCTGACTGGTTGCTGTGTTTGCTCCAGGTACATGTCCATTGCAGTTGTGGCTGGTACTGATGAGTCCTGCCTATTCTTGGCTGCCGCTTGCAGTGATGGATCTGTCCGGTAAGGAGGAGTCTCAGCTCTGATCCCAGAGACCTGCTTTCCCCCAATGGGCTGTTCCAGCTTGCCAGGGGAAGGAGACGCAGTGTGATCCAGAGAGGGAGCAAAGCCCTGGAGGAAGAGATGCAAAAACAGCTGATCCCCTGGTCTTCCTAACTCCTCCTGTGTGGAGGCAAGGGCTGGAAAGCGCTCCTCCTTCCCCAACTGCTCCCCTCCTCTCTGAGTTGGGAGAACATACCCTGAATCTAGACAGAGGGGCAGGAGAATGGGCGCCCGGGCAGAGCTGCAGTGAAATCTGTGCACCCCCGCTCCCTTGCCCTGACTGCCTTCCCCTTGCTGCTACTGCAGGATCTTCCTGATGCTGGAGCCTGCTCAGAAGCTGCTGCTTGTGGCCGAGTCTTTTCACCACCAGCGCTGCGTCCTGAAAGTGGAGACGTTTACGCACAGGGTAGCGGGAGACAGGAGGTGAGCACTGTTTGCACTGTGCCGCATCGGACATCCCTGCAGTTAGATGGGGAGAGATGGTTTCAGCTGTGATTGGAGGAGAGCAGACGAAGAGGAGGGGTACAGGGAGGCTCATGCCCCCTGTGACCAGCACCCCTCACCCACAGGATAGCTTTGCCCCGGGTCTTGGCCTCCAAACCTCCCATCTGAACTGGGGAATTAATCCTAGCGGAGCTTGCACGGGTAGGAGCCAACGTGGTCCCATATACTCCGTCCTGCAGGGATCTAGGGATGCTTTGTGTGCAGATTGCGCTGGCCTGGCAAACCTACCCTCACCAGCAATCCAGGGCTAGGACAGCTGCAGGCCTCAGCCGCACTGTGACTGCTCAGGGTGCTATGGCTCTGTGGTCAGATTAAACGCTGGAGACCGGAGCAGCCTAGATCCAAGGGTTTGCTCGCTGCAGGGACTGGACTCGCTGCAGACTCCCCCACTGCGTGCCACCCAGGGCAGCTGGTTTGTGCACTGAACCTCGGGGCCCAGGAATCTAGACTTAGTTCAGCCAGGAACCTGCCCCAATGTATTTGGTTTCCCAGGAGACACTTCCTGTGCAGCGCTGCCACTGATGGGAGTATTGCATTCTGGGACATGACTGCCACCATTGAGCATGCTGCAGCCGCCCTGGAGTTGGCGAGTGGAGAGCTGCAGCCCCTCGGTAGGTGTTTCCCCAGCTTTCCTGACTGCACTGATTGCTGGAAGTGTCCCCTGGGGCTCTCTGCAGCTAGTGCCTGGGACTGCCTCCCAGGGACACCTCCAGGCAGTCATGGCAGCAGCCACTTTCCTTTGCAGCGGAGGTGTCTGTTGCTGCGTGCCCTTGGTTGTCATTGAGCTCTTCTTTTCTCAGCTCTGGGGGCCCCGTCCCTGGCTGTCCAGGCTCACAGCTGTGGCGTGAACAGCCTCCATGTTCGGCAGACAGCGGCAGGACGATACCTTGTGGCCAGTGGCAGTGATGATGGCTCCATCCACATCTGTCTCATTGCTGTGGATACAGCCCTGACTGAGCCGCCCCCCTCCCTTCCTTGGCACATAGTGCCCCTTGGAGCCAGTGCTGGGGCTCGCATTCTCCTGCTGGAGGCGTTCTCAAGGCCATGTGCCCATGCGGCCCATGTGACAGGACTCAGGGTCTTGCGGCCAGACCTGCTGGTCTCCGCCTCCGTGGACCAGCGCCTGACGCTTTGGCATCTACGCAAGGACAGCCTCGTCTTCCTGGGCAGCAGGTTCTGCCACGTGGCAGATGTGGCTGAGTTGGATTGCTGGGGAAGCGAGGAGCGGGGCTATGGCTGTGTGCTCTGCGGGCAGGGCCTAGAGATTGTCTGGTGCATGGCCCGAGCGAGTCCCCAGCAGCTCCCTTCCTCCAGGGCTTTGGAATAAAGGGGAGCACATGGCAAGGCCTCAGCTGCCTTATTTGGTGGGGGGTGGGGTGCCTGCTTGCCACAGGAACCGCAGAGCCTCCATAGCCCTCTGCTTCCATTGTCCCCAGCTGGGAGAGGGGGACCAGGCCTCTAAACCCTCTCTCCAGCTGGCACCCCATCCTGCCGCTTCACCCTGGCCCTAGTCCCCGGGGAGCTGGCATGTCAGCCGAGGATGCATCTCAAACACTGGCAGTTCCTTGTGGGCAGAGCAGCCTGGGAACCCAGCAGGGCCTTGCCCAGGTCCCCCCCCAGTGACCCTAATAACACTTGGCTGTTCTGGAGCCCCGTAGCCCAGGGGTCTCCAAGCCCTTGACATGCTGATGAAGCCCCACACTGCTTGGGAGCTGGAGCAAGTCAGCTCAATCCCGGTGTCCCACATAGGAAACTGAGACATGGTGTGGGAGTGACGAGCAGGGACCCACAGAGCTGAGAACAGAACCCAGGCTTTGTGACACCCACTGACCTGCTGTACCCACCGCTGCACTTCTTCCCCTGCCTGCGTAGACTCGGCATGTTGTGTGCTGGCTGGCTGCTCAGCTCCAGGATGTGGGGTGACCGTGGATGTTCAGGGGCTGCCTGGCTTGCCTGTGCCCGGCAGCATGTCCTGACTGCAGAGCCCTTGGAGGGGTCCCACTGCTGGGCGTCAGGGCATGTCAGTGCCTGACAGCACCGCCTGGATGAAGGAGACATCCTAGCCCCAGGCTGAGATGGGCAGCTGCTGGGGAACCCACTAACAGGGCGCAGGGCCCAGCAGACCCCCTGAGCGCCACTGCACTGAGCAGTTCTGTTCCCCATCCCCAGGCTCCTCCGGTGGGTGGTGCCTGCACGTTTCCCCGTGCCTGGGAGGTTTGGGGCCAACGTGCTTGCGCTGGGACTTGCCGAAGGAGATGCTTTGTGCTGCTGTCTCCTCTCCGGCTTGGGCTCAGTAGTTCCAGGCCCTGCACCCTGGGCTGGCTGCGGTTACCTGCTCCTCGAGTGCCCCAGGCATATTGCATAGCTCTGGATTGCAGTTTGGAGAGGCTGTGCCAGGCCCTTTGGTGCAGCCCAGCTGTTGTGCACGGACAGCTCTGTGGCCCTTGGGCCAGTCCACTCTGGTGAGCTGCTGGTCTGGCTGTGAAGTGGGGTGAGTTGAGGGGAAGTGAGCAGCACAGAACGAGGGACACTGCACCTCAGGGGGAGATGGCCCATGCGCTGCTCTGTGCCCTCACAGCACACTAGCCTGACATTGACCATCCAGGGAGACAGGGCAGAGCCCGAGTGACCTTCCAGAGGTGGCTCTTCAGGAGAGCAAAACAAAGGACAGCCCCTGGAGGAGCCTAGGCAGGCATGGAGGCTGCAGGCAACAGGCACACTGTCCTCCGTGACCAGTGCAGTTGGCTGAGGGTCAGCACTGCCCACAGCAGGAGTCACCAGCTGGCCGTGACCCTATCCTTGGGGAGGAGCCAGGGGCCTGGGAGAAACAGGGAAGATGGTGCCAGGGGACCAGCTGGCCAGGCCAGGTACAGCGTTGTCTCAATGCCAGGGCACCTCCCTGGGAGCTGCACGGGCTAGTGTTTGACTGGGGGAGTCTTGTGTTCCTTGGGGCAGGAAAGCTGCAGCTTCTCTTTCTCTCACGCTGGTACTGTCGGGGCTCGGTAGAGGCAGCCCAGCCAGTGCCATGCTGACTCATGTAGAGCCCAGGGTCTCCGCTCGCTGCTGGGTCCACAGCGTGCCTCAGTTGCTGCTGAGCCCGCCAGGCTGCGCTGGGCTGACAGGTCTGGACTAGCGGGATTACGGAGCATGGGCAGAGCTGTGCAGGCATGGCAATGGGGGATGGGCCTGAGGCAGAACTGTGGGTGGAGGCTTAGAACTGGAATGGCGGGGGGTCTGGAGTGGGGCGAGGTGGAGCTGCGGGCCCAGGACTGGAATGGCGGGGGGTCTGGAGCGGGGCGAGGTGGAGCTGCGGGCCCAGGACTGGAATGGCGGGGGGTCTGGAGCGGGGCGAGGTGGAGCTGCGGGCCCAGGACTGGAATGGCGGGGGGTCTGGAGCGGGGCGAGGTGGAGCTGCGGGCCCAGGAGTGGAATGGCGGGGGGTCTGGAGCGGGGCGACGTGGAGCTGGGGTCCCAGGCGTGGAATGGCGGGGGGTCTGGAGCTGGTCGAGGTGGAGCTGCGGGCCCAGGACTGGAATGGCGGGGGGTCTGGAGCGGGGTGAGGTGGAGCTGGGGGCCCAGGACTGGAATGGCGGGGGGTCTGGAGCGGGGCGAGGTGGAGCTGGGGGCCCAGGACTGGAATGGCGGGGGGTTAAACAAGAAAACAGCACTTGCTCCATAACAATCTGTATTTGGATCCAACACCAAGGCTGCTGGCCCCCTCGGGGTAGGGGCAAGCGACCCTGGGGCCAGTGGGGACCTCAGCCAGTTCAGAGCAAAACAGTCAAAAAACCACTTGTTACAACACAACTAAGGCTGAGGTCTGGCCTGCTGGGGTGCCCCACTCCACCCCTGGGGGCGGGGGGCTCATGGCAAGGCAGGCAGATTCTGAGGGGCTGACGGGCTGGGACACGGCCTCTCCTGCTCCTGGGCAGTTTGTGGCAGGAGGCCAGCAAGTTTGGCATCAGTAGCTAGGAGGCAGAGCCCATGGCCAGGTGCCAGCAGAGCCACTGCCTCCTCCCCAGCACTAGCAGTGGGAAGGGCATTTAACCCCTTCTGTTCCACAACAACCAGCCCCTCCAGATAGCAACTAAACCTGGGGGGAACCCCTCCCCCACCCTCTAAAACAGGGTTAACCCTTTAACTCCGAACAACAGCTTCAGACCAGACTCTGCCCTCCCCCTGTGCTACCGTTTCGGCACTAATGTGTGGTGCCCGCAGGACTCAGATCTGGCTGAGAGGAGGTAGGTGGAGGGTAGCCAGGGCCCTGTGGATCACGTCTCTCACTCCTCTCATCAGCTGTAGCCGAGCAAACATCTGGCTGAACAAATGAGGCAGCGGCTCCTGGAAGAGAGGGGGCAGCAAGTGAGAGCAGAGGCTGCTGCTTCCCTGTGCTCCAGGGGCAGGGCTCCCCGCAGCTCCTGCTCAGTGTAGGGAGGGCTTCCTAGAGTCCTTCCTCCTTTCCTCTCCATGCTCTCAGCTCCCCTGCTGGATGGGGTGCCCTTCGCCACATGGTGCTGAGGCCACTGAGAGCTGGGCAGGGGAAGCGTGCCCTAGCCAGCAAGCCAGGCTTTCCTAGCTGGGCACCCCTGTTGGTACATTGCCATCAGCTTCCCACAGAGGGGCATGGCCAGTTGGGCCCTGAAGCCTGCAGGGGGAGGGTGCTGCTCTGGCTCCCTGGAGAGAGCAGCTACTGTGGGAGGGAGGGCAGGCTGTTTCCCAGGAGGGTCCCTGCTTACCCCCAAGATGTGAACACGGTTGTAGTAGGAGCTGAAGTCCATGCTCAGGTGGATCAGGAACTTGCACACCTGCCACACAAAGCAGAGCAGCTAGAGACCTTCCTTCCCGCAGGGGGCAGTCAGAGACCATGTGCACACTCCCTGCTAGGTGGTCGCACAGGGACACCCATCCCACTCTGCCTAGTCGATCACCCCATCACGGTCCTAGGCACCTCTTTCCAGGCCTTCTGCCCCTACGGCCAGCGCTGCCAGGGCTGCAGCTAGCAGCTCCACGCTTGTTTCCTCCCACGCGGGGCTCCTGCTGACACCTGCTGGGTGCCCAGGGATGGGAAAGCAGCAGCGGCCCCCAGAGGAGGTGCTGTAGGGAGCAGCCTGGGCTCAGTCCCAGCAGAGAACCACAATTACAGGCTGGCTTGCACAACTGCTTTGAAGTGCCAGTGGAATAAACATCTGGGAGAAGCCCTGCAGAACAGGCAGCAAGCCCCCCCTGCCTGTAACAGCAGTGGCCAGGGCCCCACAGTCACCCACACCTGCACAGCACCCCGGGCCTGGCCAGCTCAGCAGAGAAGCCATGGACTGAGTGGGCCACAGAGCATGAGCTCCTCTTGCTCCCAGCAAGGCAGCTTGTGCTGCTGCCTCCATTGGACCTGTGGCCAGCCTGCCTCTGCCTGGGATCATTCACTCTCCATGCTGTTGAGGCGGCTGGTCAGACTGCTGGGGTTATCTCCTCTCGAACAGTCCCCCTGGGGCAATGCCCTGGAGGCAGACACGAGGAACTAGCTCCCTGTTCTCCACCGTTGTCCTTACCAGCAGGGCCCTGCCCCTCCACGCTGCTAGGCCTGTCAGCCTGGGACACCCATTCGTCCCTCTCACTGCTGCCCTGTAATCGCAGTCGCTGTCCCTCTTCCCCCCTCCCGCCCCGAATTAACGTGTAAGGATAGCATGCTCTCCTCCTGCAAACCCCCCTCCTGCCGAACACACAGCTGTGCCGGCAGCAAGGGCTGCAGCTGTTTGGAAGAGGGTTATTTAGCAGCAGCCAAGCTCACTTGCTTACTCCTCCCTGCACCTCCTGTTTGCCAAACTAATTTGCAGCTTGTGTTAAATCAGACGTAACTCTACAGGGCTCAGCAGGCCCCGTTCTAACTGGGATGTCTAGGCCTTGGCTGTCTAATGAATCTCTTCAAGAACAGTGGCTATAGCGCCAAAGCAGCCCTCTCTAGTGCTCCACAGACAACCTCCAAACCTCCAGGGTGATGCCAGCCAGGAGCAGCCCTCGCACCCGCCTGGGGCTCTGTCCCCAGTAAGCCAGCTTGGCCAGAGCCCTCATTGGGGGGTAAGAGCCTGCAGATCCTCCCAGCACTCAGCCTCACTGCTCTCACCGCCTCAGTGCTGGCTGTGATTCGAATCCCTTTGCTGGAGAGGGGCAGTTGTGCTGACTGGCTCAGGGTCTCTGGGAAGGGAAGGATGTAGTTGAACAGCAAAAGCCATTCACCCTATGGAAGGAACACAAATGTCAGTCACCTCCCAGCAGCCTCCGGAGCTCTCTCCCCTCACCCCTTGGCCAGCTCAGGTAGTCCCACTGGACTGGAAGCCAGGGCGGGGGA